AAAAAAAAAAAAAAAAAAAAAATATTTAGCTTTAAGAGGGTTAGGCCTACCCTAAATTAAGGAACGCTTGACCTCGACACGTGATATCGAAATGGGCGAAATCGCCTCTTGATATCACTAACTCTCCTGACTCCTGACTCCTGAATCTTGAATTCCGCTGATGACCTATACTCGGAAATTGGGAACCATGTGACAACACTGACCAAAGCCCCACGCGGCTACTACCACGAGCTAGGTAAGGCCTGAGTTTCCCTAGCCATCGTAGGTTCTTACTACCAGCCCTAGGCCGAATTGGCTGATCCACGCTAGTGACATTCAAGGTCAAGTGGTTGTTGTATTTGTAGTTGATGATTTATCCTACTAGAGACTTATGGTCCATAGGATGTGCATGAAGCAAGAATAATGGGTTGTACCGAGGGGAAAGTTACCGCAAGTGTTGTTACAGGCATCATCAAGCATTAGATGGCAAGTCGGCATTAGATGGTATCGAAATGGGGGTAAACAACTGTGTGAATTAATAAATAAAAAAGGGAAAAATGGAAAGCCTTGCCATCAAGCCATTTTAGTGGAGTTGGAATGTTCAAAAGAAATAGTGAAGGATGGATAGTACACATGATCATGCAGGAATAGTTATGAATGATATTTTCAACTCCTTTTTATAGGAATCTGGAGAAGGTAGAGCCATTGCATGTGTCAAAAGGCAAGGTGTCTAAGGAGAGCTAATGGTTACTCCAAAGACATATTTTTGCTGAAAATGGCATGTAGTTGCTGGGTTCCAGTTTCCTGCATATCAAATTTTTAACTGTGCAGATGGCTGAAAGTGAATGCTCAGGCTTGTACATATTTTTTATATTTTTAAGGGAAGCTGATCTTTAAGGATATATAGTAATTCAGAAAACTTGATTGATTTGTGGATGGGCCAATAAATGCCAAGTTTCATCAAGGTAGTCTTAGCTGAAGGTACTCTTGCTCTATAGTTGGGGTGACTTTGTAGGCCTAAATGCATTCTATTGTGAAGGCAACATCTTTGATCCTGTCTTGACACTGATGTCCATGCAAGTGAGGTTGACTGCTGTATCTCCTGTTACATCTTATGGTTTCTCAGCCTCAAATTTTCAAACAGAATTCAGATTTGGCAAGTGTCCTTCAGATTCCCCAAAAATGTGGATGCATTAGGAGGCTTTTTTGATGGGGCTTAGCATACCACTCGATGTTCAGGCACATGGTTGTTGAAAGCCTATGTGATTCTATTAAAAACCCATGAACTAAGCCATTGCCTATAAATTTTTCAATTTAAGTAGGGGCCATTCAGGTAACCAAGGGTTTTCAATGCCAAATGTTCTACTGTTACTTTCTGTCTACCTATATGTGAGTTATTTTAATACTGAAGGTCTTCATTCTTTGTTTAGATAAATTCACTGAGCATATCTGATATGAGGCTCATCCTCATGATGACCCAGGTGCTCAATCTGTGTGGTGTATTAGGTGGACTCATGCTGAAGTCTGTCTGATTAGGCCAGGTTTATTCACTGGCAAAGACTATCTGATGTACAGTGATGAAAGAGGGAAATGCGTGATTTACGTGAAAAACTTAAATCAAGAACCAGAACATCTAGACTGGTGGATTTGTCACATCTGAAGGTGGACATAAGTTCAACCAATCAACTCCCATCAGTTGGAGGTAGGAAGCAAAATAGATTTGGTTGTTTATCATCTACTGCAAGAAAGAGACTCAATGGATCCAGATCCCGAGTGAAGATTGATCGCTCAAAAATTTTGTCTGATATGAAGCCCTCAGGTTAGTATTCATAAGCTTCCACTTTTCATCAACATCATTATGAGTTGTCCATATTTTGGAATTCAATGAAGGATCTTTTGCAATTAATTCATCATGATAACTTGATTTCTCTGAACATCATAGGCTACAAAAATCAGCAGGTTTGTTCTGGTATCTGGTAACAGTGGCATCACTGGTTTATGAGGAGTAGAAAAGTAAATGCCTCGTCGTTACTATGGTCATGATTGTGTATGAGAGAGATGAAGTAGCAGTTTTGCTTTTGAGTGATGTAATGGGTTGACCAAGAATGTCTAACTGACAATTCAAGCAGACATAAGTGTTTCCTCCTACCCAAGACCATATGGACCATTGATGTGATCATGTGACTCCATCTCGCACATCAGAATCTTTTAGGTGATGAGGAACTTACAATATGTGATCTATCTGATGTAATGGCCACTCTTTGCTTGTAATGAAAGTGGTGGTCATGTGGATCTTGATTCAGCAGTGTCCTTGACCAACAGGAGCCCTGTGTGGCCTTATTTTTTTTCATGCTTATACTTTTGAGCAAAAGTGTCAAACCATATATCCAAATACCTGTACCATCTCACCATGATTCTGGCCAGTTGCCAAATCATGGTGCAAGTACTGTAAAATCCTAAATATATTTGACTTAACTCTTTGGTGTCCATGACTGAGTTATCTCATGTTGGCCTAATGCCAAGGGATGGAAAAAATACAGATTGACAGTGCTGACATTCAAAATACTTGATAAAACAAAAGTTAAATGATCTGACTTTCTCTTTGTTCATGAGTAAGGGCCAATTCATTGGGGAAAAAGTTCCTCCATGAATCAGTTAAGATTTCTCTGTGAAACGTGTAATAATATAAAATTTAGAAACATCACAACTTGAGAGAGAAGGAACATTATTTTTGGGCCATGTGCATTAGCAAAAGAGCAATGCCTGAGCATCCTCCATATGAGTTCTTCAATGTCAAGTAAGGTCTCAGAATTTTTCTTGTATGTGACACATGGAAAACTAAAGATGTTAGTAATGTGTTGGTTAAGACACTAATAATTATCATCATTGGGCTTATTGGTAAACTGATGTTGGAGGTCTCTTGACAGTCAAATAATAAGGTGTTGGCTCATTATTTTTTAAACATCTCCAACTGATTTCATGCCAACTTGAAGTCTTATCTGCTCATGACATTGCAGGTGAATTAAGTATATCTCTTAAGTTTAAAACAAGTTTTTCATCCAATCCATCATAGACTATAACTTTTCAAAGCTGAACTATCAAAAATCATAAAATCAACAAGCAGCCTATGCAAAGCTCCTCTCATGATATGCTGTTTTGGTTAGCTCAAACATGGCTGAGAAAAAATCCATGTGTGAAAGAACCACTTAAAAAAAAGTGGTTCCAAATGTGCTGTCTGGAATGAGATATATTTTATTGGACTAAATTATACAAAAATTAAAATATTCACCTTTGTCAAAATGCACTCTAAAAGCTTTGTTTTTCTTATATGCTCTCCTAGAACTGGAAGATGGGAGACAAAGTGATCTCATGGAGTGGGAGGACACATCCCCTGCTTGTGCTCAGTCTGAAGTAAGCCATTTTTTACTCATTTAGTTCTTATCACTTTCCTTGAGCATACTCTTCTCTTAGAAAGGTTCTTCTTTGCACATTTTCCCTTAAAACTATATTGAGAATGGCTATCTTTGGTGGAGGCAAGAATTATGAAATTGCAGGTTTGCCATTCACTGGAAATTGTAATACAATTCCCTTTTTGGTCCCACAACTTTTGGTGTCCCATGTAGCCATTATTTTTCCATGACAATACTCTTCTCTAGTAATTGGCAAGTACTATTTTCTTCGCTGACTGAATCACATTTTCCATGAAATCACTATGTTTTAAGGTTGTGATTCACAGGTGCACGGCTTAACCACCCCTTCTTCAACTTGCTCTTGCAGCATGGTTTTATAATTTCAAATGTTTGTTCATAGATGGAAGTAAAGTACTTCGTCCAAATAATATTTTCTTGTAAGGCATGCCAAGCATGCTGCTCCTCCCTAAGGCGACGCTAGACGGCCTCGAAAAATAGAGTTTTGCGAATTTTGTGCAGTTTCACGGCCCCATGCCTTCATGTATGGAGACAATCTTTGGAGCGGAAGTAACTGAGAGACTTTACTGTGTTTTGTTTGTCTTAGATTATCAATGATCCCTTCATGGAGCGATCTAAACCTAAAAATACCGTTAAATTGAAATTGGAGCGAAATTAATTATTCATTCCTATTCTTAGAAAAGCGCATTTAATTAAGGTGACCATATTTCTGTGTCCTGAAGATGGGACGCCCAATAAGTCCCCTTGTCTTAAAGCAGAATGTAAATGTATTTGTTGCTCTGACGATTATATTTATTATTGTCGAAATATGAATTAGAACTGTTTTTTAATTTATTGTGTGTCTGCCGTAGTGCATCCAGCCCTAATGTTGGGGGGGGGGGGGGGGTTTTGGGAAAGTTCATATGACCTGTCTTTCAAATGTCTCCGAATGCAAGAAGGACTTATTAAATCATCAGAAGAGGTATATTCCCAAGAAAAATGGGAAATGACGTCGAACACGCGAACATAGGAAATAAAAATTTCATGAAATTGTGAAAACAGAATTTAAACATTAAATGATATAAGCACATTCGATATCAGAAACAAAGCTAAAGATGAACGGAGTTAATTTCGAGAATCGCACCAATATTTATGCCGAGTACATCTTTATACATTTTTGTCGAGAATTCAATTCATTCAATCGCAGTCTTTGTAAGCCTTCTGAGTGTCGACAGGAAGATTTTCATTAGTGGGAAGAAATGGACTGTTGCTGAATTCCGGAGTATATTGTCGTATTGTGAGTATTTAGGCCTTCAACGATGTCAAGTGATAATCTCATGATCTCTCAATATCCCGTAGCCTTTATCCCCCAGAAGTGGTCATGGTAATTTCGATTACATGCATGTGACGGACAATTCCGACGTGGATTAAGCGTTAAATGGAAGTTACCATAACTTGATATGGCAAGATAGCAATCTTGACTCGAATAAAATCTACTTGTAGTACGGCTGTGCGATAATACGACTGCTTTCCAGAAGACAGCAGCCCCTGCGTCCACGCTTTTGTGACGTCAACAAAGATGTGACAACCAGATGTTTAGAGGAACGTACGCGCACATGCGCTGTGATGTGTTGAATCAGCCCCAGTTTTTCTGCCGCAATGACGACAAACACACTACCAACTTCGGAATCAAGGGGTCATGTTCCTACCCGGTTTTTTCATTTCCCCCTTCTTTTCGAAAAAGAAAAACTTTTTGGAAAGATTGCTCCTTCCTCTTCCCTAGAATTGAGATAGTTGCATGGTAATATCCCAAAGTAAGGGGTATGTCGACGGAATCCAAGTAGTATTCCAACCAGTAACAACGCTGCATCTTGTTGCATGGATACGTCAGGAGGTTCTTGCGAAATGCGAGACTAGCGTAGTACTATGCATAATTACGTATTGCAGTTATAATAGCTGACGTTTATCTATCTACCCATCCACCGGAGGCCAGGACGGGTCGATTTTTCCAAACCAGACCCGATTCGCCTGATTAGAATCACGGCCGAATCGACTCGGAGCTCGATGGCCGACCGAGCATTACAAGCCCGACCCGCGGAAAGTGTCAGGCCAATCGGGTCGACCCTCCGCTCACTTATGCCTCTAAGCTTCAGAACTGGAGGTTTCTGCGTTTTCGCCCGCACCCGACCGGAAAATGGGACGTTGTGACTCTTAAGAGTGCTATGAGACAGAAATCAATGAAGGGGAATTGGAGGTCTCTGATATTCGTTTTCTAAATTCGTACGGTGAGTCTCATTTGAATATCATTGGACGGAACTCCCTGAAAATTAGCATTCAGGGAAATGTGAGGGTAGGGCGGGATGATGGGATGCCCCAATATTATTGATCCGAAATTATGACTACACAACGTGTTTCGATGACACCATAAATTCCGTGACGTGATGAACGCTGGCTTACGGACATACCAAGTCTAACGCCCTATGCTTGCTTCACTCGCTTCAAATACCTGCATTGTCTTTCCACGAATTGATCTACTGGAATGTGTGATTACATCCCACATAGTATTACGCATTCCAATCCAGCGATATTCCTGGGTTTACCTAGGGCCGCCCAGAAGTTTCCAGGGGCTCGGGGCAAAACTAAACTGGAGACCCCTTGGGGGCCCCCTTGGGACCCTTTGATACGTGGGGCCCGGGATAGATTGCCCCCTCCCCCTTCTGGGCGGCCCTAGGCTTACCGTAACAGTAGTCGATGGATGAAAACAAAGAAGCTGTCCGGTTGTCTTTTTTTTTCTCATTCAGTTCTGCATTTCCAACCAGACTAGTTCCACGTCCACCATGTTGCGACAGTGTCCCATGACATTAGATAAGGTATTGCCTAAAAGACCATAGACAGAACTATTGCAAGCGGAGAAACAGCAATTACGTATGTTGTTCTGGTTTATAAATTTTCTCATCGAAGAAAAGAGGCTTGGGAGACTCGTACTCATGGTAGTTGCTTTGAATCGTTCGTGTCGCAGGCAGGTGAAAGATGCATGTACGTGGCAATGCGCCACTGCGGATCCTGGCTGCAGACAGCTCGTGCACGTGCGTCTGTCTGCCTCTCTCCTAGCCTCTTCTGTTGTCACCGAAAATTCTCCCTCTACTCGCGCAACGTCTAGATCAGGAGTCGGGTACCCGTGGCTCATGTTGGCTCACGAGCCGAAAAGTTTGGCTCATTGAGTCATGGCTGAAATAATGGTTGTTCCTCATTTTTCTCATGTATCAAAGAATGCACGTCTATTGGCAACTTCATGAAAAATTCTGTTCTGAAAATCTTTCGCTCACATGCGCTTAGCTCAACCTTAATATGGCTCACATGGTCAAAAAGACTCCTAACCCCTGGTCTAGATGGATTTTTGACGGAGTAGCGGCCCGTGAACCGTAACCTTCCGTGTAAGTGGACCCTGGTCATCAATCTAATTGAACCCAGTTTCATCTAAACGTAATTTGAAGTTATGGCTTAAAGGTATACCATATCCAATTGAAATGCAAGTTCTTCATTTCCATGGACCCGTTAGTTTCACCATATATTTGTAGATCCATGAATTTAATCTTAATTGCTTTTGAGCAGCTTTTGCATGCTGTTATTGGCACTTAATTTCAGTATGCTGAGAATGTTCTCATGAAATTCCTTCTCTGGATAAGTCATGAATTATGTTTTAACAAGAGGGCTATAAGCTTTGAAAGTTGCATATGATGCAAAGTTTTTAAAGCTCTTACGTAGAGATGCACCGATCCAGGATTAGCTGATAACGATACCGATACAGATAGCTCCCAGTGGCTGTCAGAAATGAAACCACAATGCAGGACCAGACCTTAGTAGGCTTTATGCTGCCTTTGGCATAGAAGGGAAGAAGTAAAAAATCCTCGGACACTAATGACCCAACATTCGAAGTTCCTGTCATTTATTTAGCTTTTCAGACATTTACGTCGGCAATATATTAGCTTCTTGAGTATAGGCCAAAACTTCCCCTCCATTCTCCAGGCCCGCCGAGAATACGTTGGACGTAAGTACTACGTACAAAGAACGATCGGTGCGAAGAGGAGTAGAGGTAGTAACTATATCTAATGCCCTTAAGGGATTAAGAAGTCGATGCAACTACTGTACAACCGGGATTGGTGTTCGAGGGGAGAACCGGAGGTGGGATGAATGTGAGCACAAAGTGCACCTGCACAAACCAGTCAGCGCAGGAAGGCAGGAGACGGGACGGAAGGGGGGAAAGTGAAGAAACGAATGTGTACGCGAATGACACTGACCCATTCCATTCGTGATTTCATGATGCATTGAATTTTCGATGGGAGATCCTGTTTGCTCTCGAAATCGTATGGGTGCGCGTCTCCATCACTCTCGGTCACTCCCTTCTTGATAACCGGAAATGATTCCTTTTTCCCCACGAAAGGCCATGAGATTCTTTAGAGCAGGGCTTAATTTCGCCTTCGCCTCCATCCGCTTCTGTATACAACTTTCCTCGATGTCATACTTATGACCTATTGCACGGATGCCCAACTCCGCTTCCTGAATCACATGGATTTCTCTGCAGCTGTGTTATTTCGCCGTATATTTCCATCCGTTTTCACGGATAATAAAACAAACGTTAGGGATACTGTGCCCCCCCTCGATAAAGGTCAGGACAGTGAATAAGAAACGAGGTTCGAGCTACCTCAAGACCGGATTTACCCCTTATTCATCTCCCTTGTCCGACACTTTTCGCTACAAAATAGGGGGGTGCGCCTTTTACGCGGGGAATCTTTTTTTTTTTTTACACAACTTGAGACCTCAAAAGCGGGGGTGCGTCTTATACACGGTGGCGCACTATACTGGAGTAAATACGGTAAATGAAAAGAAAACCATGTCTGATTGGTACAGGATTCCCTTAATATATCTGGTGGATTCAAGAAAACTCCCTTGGATTCTTCTATATCTCAGTCGTCATTTTTTGGCTGTACCGCATGCTTTCCGTTTAGAAAGCATGTTTGTCCCAAATAGAGGGAAAGCATTAAACCTTGAAAGACAAAGAATGGTTGCTTCAACCCCTTGGACTTCTAAGGGTTAAGCAAAGATACTGCTGGTTTTGCTTGGCCAATGCAAATAGTGTGGCAGGTTACTTAAGTATATTTTGAAGTTTATTTTGAGAACTACTGATTAAAGAAAAATCACATCTCTTGTATATATCCCTATAAATTGTAGTATTGTGCAGTTCATATGAGTATCCATTCCTGTCTTAAAACCAGAGCATTTTCTTTTTTCTTGAAGAATCTCACCAATTGCTAGATTGAGTCCATATGCTTGAAAAAGGGAGCTTTCCCCCGTAAGGAAAAACACATGATCCTCCTCAGCTGCTTCATTGAATGAATTCCTTTGCTGTTGGTCTTAGTGAAGAAGTTTTGGTTAATGACATCACTTATCAGGGTATCTGATCTATGGTGTGTGAATTGCATGGATGCCAGCTACTGCATTGCTGAATTTTTGGAGAATTTTGATGTTTTTATTTCAACTCTCTTTGGAAAAATTCCCATTCCTAAATACTTGCAGGCTTTCCCTGCTGGTAGATTTAAATTGTAATGCAATTCACTTGTATTTTGAGTTTTAATTATGCATTTCAACAGTTCCCAGGAAGAACAGAGATAGATTGAGCAATTTAATCTTTCCAAAGTAATTTGTTGATCATGATCCCACATACTTTAATTCACTGTCTTTGGAAAACTGAAAAATACCTTTGTAGCTGCTCTTGCTTTTCCTCAGTTGGATAAGCAATTCCTGATTGCATAGGATGTTACAGAAAGACTTTTATACACCTCAATCATCTAGCATACAGTGACATCTTGTCCATCAGCATTGAGTATTGTTCCATCAGAAAGCCAACTGATGCTGTCACCAGGCAGTGCTTCACTAAGTCGCTAACACCACTTGTTGTCATTTTGTAGCCAAAATGGCGTAGGTGTGTGTAATTTCATCAGTGCAAGCAGATAATGAGATGGCACTGGAAACTTCCAAAGCAATTTGCATAGCAGAGGTGCAGTGTGCTGGAATGTGAGTATAGAACATCCCCAGCAAACATCACAATTCCACGATTGAGGGACAAATTTAAGGCTGAAGATATAATGAATATGGAATTTTCTGGATGGTGGATATAAAAAAAGTGGACTGGCATACACAACAAAACTGATGGCTCTCCAGCAACTCCCACAGAGCATCATTAATGCTTGCACTAACATTCCAGCTGAGACATGAACAGATGTGTATCATATTGTTCTTTGCTGCTATAATGCCTGCCTGGCAGCCAATGGTGGACATTTTGAATACATACACTAGCATCCAGTACAAATCATTAGTTGGTCTTTGATTAAACAAGATTTAGTGCAAACAGACAGCATGCCATTATATACTAGACTATTGAAGTGTGAGTATACATCTTTCTGGGACTCGCTGTATTTCCCCAGGCAAAATTGGATTTAAAATTCTTGCATTTATTCTTATAAGGTCAGATATAGTATAAGTTGGGGTGCAGTAAGTTGTGTCTAATGCAGCATTTTCTGAACGTTCATAATAGGTTGACCCTGGTCCATTCTTTGTGATTGTAGGGAAAGGATGGAGTTGGTGGACTCTTCTTCATCCTTGATACCAATATACTCCTCGATCCTGCATTCAAATTTGAGGAATTGCTAGAAATGACATTTGTGGGTGAGTCCCTCCACCCATGATCTCCTGCTATTGATGCACCACACACATGTTGAGGTTGAAGTTCTCAAGAGGTGGGACTGAAGGTGAGAGGTGGGATGAGGCAAGTACTAATGATTGCTGCAGCTCCTGAACCATATGGAATGAAAGAGGAAGAGTGGTTCTTGGTAGAGATGCAATGATATTTCATCAGCTATTGGTATTGGTCTATATTGGGTGAATTGAATATATTAGCCCAATACAATATATGACCTACCAATGACCGATATTGGAAGTACATCTGAATCATGCCAAATGCTAAGGCCCAAATGCACAAACCTCATTTAGAGAGATAAAGGGGCCTTTAAGCTAAAGAGCTCTTTTGGGATTGCATAACCTTTCTTTTAAAAAAATGTCCATTAAAATAAACGAGGTTTAAGCTAAAGAGTCCTTTTTCAAATGCACAACCTACTTCTAACATAAAGCTCCTTTATCTTCATATGCACAAACCTCCTGTAGCTGGCAAAAAGATAAAGTAGGTCTGGGTCCTACTTTATCATGTAAATGGGGGATTTTCCCTTTGTAACTGGCGTTTCTTCTTCGGATCATAATTGGCATTGGCATCATTGGCTTATTGGAAGTCCAGGAATCTTGCAGTCTGTGGACAATCAGCGTTTCTTGAAATGGAGGAGTAGGCAACATTCAATTCTCCTGTGATACACAAGCCTAAGGCATCTCTTTTCATAATATCGAAATTCATCACCCACTTCCTTGATCTCATGATTGCATACACGAAACTAGATGAAGGTAGCACAAAAAGACAGTCATGACTGATCTGTAAGGTGTGTGGTATGATTGTTATAAAGAGGAAGAATTCAAGTGAGATGATCGGACATATTAATCATATTAATATGACCTGAAGATATCATATTAATAAAGTCCTGCAATCACCTTCGAGGTAAATAACTCCATAACAGTACATCCGATTCACATGAAATTTACATGGTATAAGTATGGAGTCATGGGGGTTAGAATGAATACAGTACTAACATTTGCCACCACGTGGTGATCATGTATCTAATTGTGCGCGTTATAAAAGGAATGCATTGGCTCATCGGTCGGCATTGGTCATCACGACTCCAAAGGAGAATGTGCTTCTTGTGAAACTTTTCTACCAGGCAGAATAAAGCGCTGCTACAGTTCTGCGAGACTTCGGGAAGCTAAGAAACTTATGGCAGGGTCCTTGCAGTATGTCAACCATTCACCGCCTCATCTAGAAATTTGAAGTGTCTCAATTCCATTCTTGATCAAGCCACATATCGAACAGTTGTAACTTAATGTAGCGCAACTCGTTTTTGCTACTCCATTCACATCTCCATGATTCAACATGTATACCCTTTGAATTTCATGTTATTTGGATTATTTGTCATGGAGTTAATCTTCTCAGAAGTGATCACAGGACTTCATAACCACCCTGAAAGTCTAGGTGCAAACGAGTTACCAGCCCTGAATTTCTATCTGCTATTCAAAAAAGTGACCAATCGGAAAATGGAAGATTTTGGGGTTGGTTTGTCACTTTTTCTATTCTGTTTTCATTTCAACTATCCCTTTGGAACCAGAGAATTTGACAAATTGCTCACATGCAGTATAGAGTCTGGGTCAGGGTATTAGTCTCCAGCAAACACTGCCAATTTCCTTCCGGCGCTTGCATTTGACAGATTTGTAGTTAGACAAAAAGGAGAGGCTTCTTATTGCGGTGAAGGCAAGTTTGTGGGTCGATCCCAAGGAATGCTGCATCTCACATCCCATGAGCTTTACTTTCCTTCCATCCCCTGATTATGCAAGTCAATCAACATGATGTCTTTTGCTTGCTGAAAAGTTGGATGACTATGAAATAGTGAAGGGAGGTAACCCCAGTGTCATGGTGGTCAGTGAAATGACTGATCCATAACAGAGCTGGTATAGCAAATGATAGATATTCAGTCATCCTTCTCACAGAGAGTTGAACATGCCTGAATGACCTATGCTTTATATCAAACAAGAAGGTATTATTAATTAATATCTAACTTTTTTTTTCCTTTTATCTGGGAGCAGGAAGATGGCTGTTTATAAAGACCCATCCCTTACAGGCAGACAACATCTTCACATGTTGCTCTCAGTGAATGAAAGAAGGGCTTGTATCTCCTCAGTGGCTTACTCCCTTCTTGCCCTAGCTTGTACTTGTTATTTGTGGGTGCATTTCTTTGCTCAGCTGGAAGAGGTAGTAGCAGTCCAAAAGACATGAGGTGTATGCACTTACTTATCAAGATAGCCAGGAAAGGAGTTTGTGTAACGCTCACGGGCGGGCGCTACATTTGCATGCATTTTGGTTCAAGAAAGCTTCTGCAGAAAGCAAAGAATCATGCCCAGCATTTGCTTATACTCAGTTAGGAGACAGAGGTTTGCTATTGTTTGAGTCAGCTCTCTCAAGCCACAAGCATGAGTTTGAGTTGCTGTTCTGGTTGTTTCTTCTGTTGGTGATTGTTAAACCGCATGCAAAATGACTTGTGACTTCCTTTACCATCAAGTATGCTTGAGTCATGAGCATGCAGTTGATGGTACTTTGAAAGCATCATGTGGATATGCTTGATGATTTTCCTGGCTGGGATTTCCAGGCCTGACCTCTCTAGTTCCATATTTCCAATAGTTGAAAACTCACTCCTGCATTGAAGAAGCAATACAAAATGCTGGCCAAACTTGTTCATAGGTATCTCTCCATCCCTCCCTCAAGCATCTCAAATGAGAGATTATTTAGCTGCACAGGCCTTTTGTATAGTTATCAACGTTATCAGCAGAGATTTAGTGGAGGGAAGGCTGACATGCTATTGTTTCTCAACCACAACTTGAGGTTTTTCAGCTTGGAGTATTAAAGCTGTTAGCTGTTGCTTTTTCCATACTTTTAAATCCCCATTGAAGAGCCTGGCTTCAGCATGAACAAAAAATTTATTTCAACCACTGAATTTCATGCTAAAATGTGATTTTTTGCAATCTTTGAAAATTATTCTAGATGTGCTAGTGTTTTGGTATTATGCATGATTAGAAGCTTCCACTTGCCATGCTCAAGAATTCCCTTCATCCCTTGAACACACATGATGTACCTGTATGAAACCTGTATTTCTCCATGGAGAAATTATGCTATCGAAGCACATGGACACTCATGGGTTGCTTGTGGTGAGTGCTTGCCAAGGGGGGGGGGGGGGTAAGTATTACAAGAAGTAAAATCAGAGATATCATTTAAGTAAAGAACTTTAACAGAAACAAAAATTATTTTTAAAAACAAAATCCTGGTGTATGACAGGCATGAAATTGCCCAATACTTGGTGTGTTCAAGGGGTTAATGGCATTCTCTTATTGGAGAATTGTGATTTTAGTTTATGTGATTACCATGAATCTATTAAGAGTGGAATGTTTTAGTCCTTTTTTTATTATCCTATTTGAACTTATTGGTTTTCCCTTTTTGTGATTTCCACTAATTAAGAACTTTCATGTATAAAAAGGTTTTATTATATTATCTGCTTATCATTGTATTCCTTGGAACTAATTTTTAGGCCTTGAATGCATGGATATTGGTATAAGTATATATATATATACAGGGTGTCCCAAAAGTCTGGAACCATAAGGCAAAATGATGATAATGACTTGTATTCACAGAATGTTTTCAATGTGTCCACCATTATGATTGATACACAAATGCAGACGAGGTATCCAGTCAGCAATCACACTTCGAATGGTGTCAGGAGTGATGGTGTTACATGCATCTGATGTGCTCCTGCATATGTGCAGTGCTCTGAATTTTCTCTGCATAGACCAACACCTATGATACCAGACTTATGGGACACCCTATATGTATATTTCAATATCAGAATATCAAATATTGATGCATTTTCCATATCATTGCATCTCTAGTGCTTGGTGATGGTTTGCTGCTAATTTGTCACCATGTCACAAATCAAGTTGTACCACTTTTTTCTCTCTCTTAATGAGCCCAAATGATTCAAGCCTCCCTATCTCATTCCTAGTCTGGATCATAATTTTGTCCAAATTTATGTTATGTATTTATTAATTTAGCATGTTATTATGTGTTCACTTTTATTGTCAAACTAGAAAAGCTCTAGAAAGGGACTGAGCTGATATGTAAAAGGCTTGTTGTGCCCTGCCCAATATTTACCAATCACCATTCCAGGACTAATGATGCATTTGTCATCATCCGGGTTCTGTTTGCATATTGTAAGTAATGAAAGAGTTGCAAGAGGATGTCAATATGCATATCTTGCAATATAGGCCTGGGTGTACTGGAAATTATAATGAACTGGTGTCTCAATCTCCTTTCACTTGTCAATTTAAGGTTATAGGATTAGATCATTTTCACACTGCTGCACTCCTCAAACTAATTTCCAGTGTAGAAACTAAGTCCTACCTACTTATGTTCATGCAGTGAACTTAGTTCATGCCCTGATTCTGTAAATTCATTCTGTTATTCTGTGGAGTTCAAGAACCTATGAGTGAATTTTCTTCATTTCCTCATAGATTTGCTAGGAAGAGAGTGCTACAAGGAGAATTGCTGTACCATAAAAAAAATCTGCTCACATAGTTAATGAATTTAGTACAAACTATAGGGTAGGAGGTTGTTGAAATGTGACACGGGTGTAATGGGTAGGCCAAGGTGACTCAGAGGAAAAGCTGACAGTGAACTGGCGCAGCATGAATTTCTGCATGGATGTGGTAGGTAAAAAATTGAATTGAAATTTTTTACTTTGAGGGAACAAAGCAATTCATATTGCAGCATACCTACACTCTCACTTTTGCACTGTCATCTGGGATGGCTGAAATTTTCTCCATGACTTTTTGTTCATTGTTTTTTATTTTCATGTAGCCTATAGAATGCCCTTTCCCTCCTAGGTCAGGATGGGTCATGTATGGTTCCCCCATGCATAGTACTACCATGGAAAGTTTTGGAGGAGCTTGATTGTTTGAAGAAAGAGCAGAAAGACCAAGAAATAAAACCAGAGAGAGAAGTGGATCTCTGTCTGAGAGCCAGGAGGGCCATTGGAGAAATAAACAAGTTCCTCAAAAATGAACATCCCAGAGTCATTGGTCTGGCTCATCTCATTTGAATTTGCCATCAATTCTTTGATGTTTTCAGTCCTCATGTTGCAAAACCTCCTTTTACAGGTCAAAGGAAAGAAAGAGGTTCTTTGGACAAGTATTTCAAGGCATCAACTTCTGATGACGTGATTCTGCAGAGCTGCTTGTGCCTAAGGGAAGAAAATCCATCTGCCCTGATCATACTGCTCTCTAATGATCTCAACCTTGCCAACAAGGCCTTGGTGCATAAAATTCATGTCCTTTCCCTTAAGGCTTTATTAGATAATGAAGTGCCACGCTTTCCACGAAGGACATTTACTCCTCCTCCACTCCCCAACTCAGGATCTTCTCAATGCAGGAAGTCAGAGGTGTGTGTTTGCCATGATTTCATCCTGAACATATGCTACCTGCTTCCAAAATGATTTGGGCAAGCTGATTTTCTCTGCCAACTCTTTCTTATTTTTCATTTTAACAAATAACTGGACAATAGTAATGAAGGAACCTCAAAATGGTCAAAAACTTTGAAATGTGGGCAAACTGCAGACCAAAGCAAATCACAATATTACAAACAGATAAAAAGTTATTAACTCTCAAAATAACGTCACATGTTCCAAAATAGTTTGGGCATTGGCACTAATACTTTGTGACTTCACCTCTTGACATGGCTAGGGTTTCCAATCGGTCAGGTATACTGGAGACAAGATGGGCACATTGGTCTGGAGTGATGGTGCCCCAAAATTCTTGCAGGTTTGCTCGTAATCCCTCTTTGGTTCTCAGTTGTCACTTTCTGATGCCAGACTTCAAAATTACTCAGATAATCCCAATCAGTGACATATCTGGACAGCTGGTTGGCCATGGTAGCACCTCCATCTGTTGGTTTTTGAACCATTGGCGAGTTGTCTTGATGGTATGACATCAGGCACCATCCCTACACTGTCAAGCTGTCAGGGAATGAAACCTTTGGGATAATGCAATCAGGATGAAAAGCCTCATCCTTCATATGAGAAAGCTCTTGCCACCTGAAGATGGCCTGTTCATCGTACAAAACAAAAGAAAAGCCACTGTTGATGTCCTGAAGAAGAAGCGAGTCCATAGGGTCAAAGAGTTCAAGAAATGACCATTGACAGTTTAGAATCAAGTGGTATGGAGCAGCAAATCCAGGTTCGTTGTCTGCCTTAGGGATCACTGCAAGAGAGTTCTCTTATGGAGGATGAGGCTTTTCATCCCAATGGTTTCCATCCCTGACAGCTTGATGGTGTAGGGATGCATGAGCAGAAAAGGGGTCGGCCAGCTCCTGTTCATCGATGGAACAGTTGACAGCAAGAAATGCATCAAAATTTGGGAGGATGCCATTACTCCATCAGTGGAAGAACTACACCCTATGGCAACGTCATATTCCAGCAGGATGGTGCCTGATGTCATACCAGCAAGACAACTTGCCAATGGTTCAAAAACCAACAGATGGAGGTGCTACCATGGCCAGCCAGCTGTCCAGATATGTCACTGATTGGGATTATCTGAGTAATTTTGAAGTCTGGCATCAGAAAGTGATGACCAAGAACCAAAGAGGGATTTACGAGCAAACCTGTAAGAATTTTGGGGCACCATCACTCCAGACCAATGTGCCCATCTTGTCTCCAGTATGCCTGATCGATTGGAAGCCCTAGTCACGTCAAGAGGTGAAGTCACAAAGTATTAGTGCCAATGCCCAAACTATTTTGGAACATGTGACGTTATTTTGAGAGTTAATAACTTTTTATCTGTTTGTAATGTTGTAGATCATATTGAGGTTCTTTCATTACTACTGTCCAGTTATTTGTAAAACTAAAAATAAGAAAGAGTTGGCTGAGAAAATCAGCTTGCCTGAGTCATTTTGGAAGTGGGTAGTATGTTTCTTGTACTATACCTTGCAAAATGTAGAATGAGAAAATGGTAAGTCTTGCCATGATAGGACCAGCAACAAGTCAGCTGTAACTCTTCTACTTCATCTGGTTATGAGAGCCTTCAGAATCAACAGATAGCTTCATCATCCCCAGGGAAAACTCACCTGAATGTGCAGCTTGCAGACAAGTTACTCCTTGAACTGAAGGAACTTCTCACCAAAGACCTATCATATGTGAGTGGTCACAAAGTTTCTGATGCTTCATTGAATTTTCTGCGGATTTTTTCCTTCTTTCTCTCTGTCTTTGCCTCAGTGTAATGTCTAGTAGTTATCCTTGTCAATATAAGATTAACCTTTTATATGGTGAGTTTTTTGGTCTTATGCATACACTAGTTCAGAAGACTTGAGGTGCTCAGTGCCTGGGTTGCCCAGTCCACAACATGATCCTGAGAATGGTTCTGGACATGTACCCAATCTGACTAGAATGTTGCATACTTCTTGTTGCAAAGTCTTTTATGCTATTATGAATTTTCGCCACATATGGGGGAGGGGGAATCATTCCATCCACAAGTACTGCTTACATGCCAATTTATGAGATTTGTGAACTTTTCCTTAACTTTAAATGCAGTTTTTCTGAAGTTCTACACATTTGATGTCAGTATACATAGGCTCTCTCTGTTTATATTGATACCATTACATGAATTTATTTTCGTTTTTATCTGACTAGATCATGGTGCATGAACTGCAAGCAGCTTTCAAGGACTCTGATTGGAGGAAGATGGTGAAGAAACCCCCACCATGGAAGACCAGAGATATGCTGGATATTCTTCTGAAGATGTGGATATCTGTTTTTGGCTTGGTTTGGCCACGATGCATCAAGAGCAACATTGAAAATCTTCGCAAGACTTTCCTGGAAATCTCCAGTAGGCTTTGCCTCCTATGCTCACCCACTTCCATTATCTTTATTCATTCACATTTGTCTATCCAGGGCTTGAGCAAAGAGAACATGTTTTGCATGTCCTCTGCTGGTCACATCAGAAAAGCCTTTTCATGTATTTTTGAAATTTTTAAATTGATATCCAAGACTGGTAAGCTGGTAAGGCTCTTGAATTCTTTCATGAAATAAGACTCAAATTTATCTACATTTACATCTGCCTTGCAGAAAACAGCCTGATCAATGACATGAAAGTGGCTTTCATCCGTACACATTGACTTTCAACTGTCAAGGTGCCATTTATTCTCAACTGTTTCAAAGTTTTTTTTCTAGTAGCAAGGTTTTCCTCTTATGATGTCTCCAAAGCCTTTAATCTTGTCCAGGGTGTTTCACAAAAATGTTTACCATTTTGAATTGTCATAACATCTTTATTATAATGAGCCTTCACCTCAAACAAAGACAAAACCACAGAGAAACTCTAAAACTTTTATTTTAGCAGGAAAAATAGTTACAAATGAGCACCTCTAGCTGCAGAACAGCCTCAAAGACGTTGAGAGAATTATTGTACTGCTGCCTTCAATACTTCTTGCTGAATGCCTCAAACTGCTCATTGACTTGAGTTCTGCAATATTTGGAATGTCCTGAAGGGTTCATTCTTCCTGTGTTCCCACAGGTAAAAGTCGAGTGGACTGAGGTCTGGGAATCGTGCCAGTCACTCAATGTCATCTCGCTGAGAAATGAGCCACCAAGTGAATCTCTCTCTCTCTCAGCCACTCAATACAAATGTGGGCAGTAGGGCAGGTTGCCCTATCTTGCTGCAAAAAAATATTCTGTTTGTGATGCACTTTTGGCCAGAAAAATGTCCTCTTAAGTGATACTTGATATGCACAAACTGAATTTTTTTACAGCAAGATGGAGCACCCTGCCATATTACCTGCATATGTATTGAGTGGCTGAGAGAGAGAGAGAGATTCACTCAGTGGTTCATTTCTCAGCAAGATGACATTGAGTGGCTGGCACGATCCCCAGACCTCAGTCCACTTGACTTTTACCTATGAATACAAGAAGAATGAACCCTTCAGGACATTCCAAATATTGCAGAACTCAAGGGAACGAGTCAATGGGCAGTTTGAGGCATTCTGCAGGAGATACTGAAGGTAGCAATACAAATTAGGCTGTTCTGCTGCTAAAGGTGCTCATTTTAAACTTTTTTTCCTGCGAAAGCAAAAAATTTTAGAGTTTCTCTGTGATTTTGTTTTTGTTTGAAGCGAATGCTCATTATAATAAAGATGTTATGGCAATTCAAAATGGTAAACATTTTTGTGAAACACCCTGTATTACAATGTCTCCAAAGTCTTTAACAGTGTAGAACAGGATCTTGCATTAATTGAATCACTTGGGTTTTAACCCCTTCACAGCTGTATCCCGAGTATGTACTCATCATACAGCTACCCACGGGGATAATGCAGCCAAATGGGTGGCTGCATGACGAGCACATACATGGATTGGTGCTAAAGGGTTGGTACTGTGGTTCAGGCTTCTACATTGACCTTTACACACAGAGCATGTCAATGGGAAATTTTGAATTTGCCATATTTGAATAGCAATGGAATCTTTCTTTTCACACCTGTAAAAGGATGATTCCATGCTGTTCGAGTATGGCAAAATTAGAAAATTTCCACATAAATGCTGTATTCAAATATGGCGAAGTTTGCGTTTTCTCACTTTCATGCTCTGTTTGAATTTGGAAATGTAGCATTCAGCATGTAAAGGTTAATGCAATTTCATGTGTCAATAGCCCCCTTTCTTGACTCAAGTGTAGTTTTCTATGTGCCTTAGCATTCCGAAGCCTATGTTCTTGGTTCAACTTTCTTTCTGTGGTTTGTTGATGAAATCACATTCATAGAGGCCTATATCATGAACAAAATAGAAGGGTCCCTAAAACCAAGAAATATAGGGTGATTAAAAAAAAACGCTCTACCATTTTCTATGGGAGAAGCACAGTTTCATAAATGCAACAAAAATTTACACTGGATATGCGATCGATATTTGACAGATACAAGGTATTGAAATGCATGTCAGCTTTTTTTCAGCACCCCTACCTAAATTGTACAATGCCCATTTAGAGGTGAATTAAAGGTGCTTAGAGGTGGATCATTCCACCTTAAGTGAGGTAATGACCTGTGTTAGACTGTCTCAGAATCCAATGAACTTCTTAACTTTAACCTTTCAAGGGACAGCTGGATGCAGCTGATAATTGACAGAGAGGTTCATAAGTCTTTTTTTTTTACATCCATAAGATGGCACTGTTTGCTGATAGAGGGTGCTGTTGTTGGTCAGAGGGCCCCCTGTCTTTGTGCTATGCCACTTTTTACTTAGGAAAAAAAAACCTATAGGTTTTCTTTGAGTCTTTGAACCTTACATGAGCCACTTTACCAAATTATCAGTTGTATCTGAGAGCCCTTTCAAAAGATTTGATCTTGAAGCCAATTTAAAAACATATGAATTTAGTCCAAATCAGTTTAAGACCAAAACTGGGAAAACTACTCTAATTGAATATGATAGAGCATTGATCATTCCTGCATGTGAGGTGTAATGATCCACTTGTAAACTTTATAACTGGACAATGCACAGCTCAAGAAATTGTTCAGAGAAAAGCCCAGACAATCTTCTCAACACTTCCTATGTGTCCGATATCAAGAGTTTATGAATCTTATATTTTTTACTTGAATACAAAAATTTCTCTGTTCCTTTCTTCTCTTACTTTCTCCCATTGAAAATGGTGGAACTTTTTTTTAAGGTGGTAGGGGAGGAAAAATCGACCATCTGGGATTCAAAATCTGAAAAGTAATTGTTGTAGGGGGTCCCTAGGGAAGTGCAAAGAGGGGTCGCACAGTCACCTCCGACCCATAGTTTGGCCAAAAG